ATTCCAGCCACAGCCGGTTCTCACCGGGTTCATCCACCTGCCTGGAGGGGGCAGAGACCCTGAGCTGGCCTGTGCCTGGGCCGCTGTCCAAGGCATCCAAGCCTCGCGGCAGGTCCAGCCTGACCCCGGGCCCCAGCTGTGCCCAGCTGCTTTGCAGGGTGGGGGCTGGGTGCTCTGATGTCCCCAGCCAGCAGACTGGGCTGGGGGGGAGCAGAGAGGGGTTAATGCCAGGCTGTGCTTCCTCCACCCCCAGCCCATTCACCCTCTGCCAAGCTGCTGGCAGGAAAGGGGCTGGCTGCAGAGAGCCTGGCAATAGGGTCAGGGGTGTGAAAGAGCTCGGCCGCCCCTCTACTAGGAGCTGCCAGGCCTGGGGGCTATATCACCAGAGGTACGGCCTCCCTGTGCGAGGCGCTGTGCGTCCGGAGACGATCGCTGCCTGGAGAGCACTAGCAGCAGGTGGGAGAAGGAAAGGAGGCTTATCCCCCTGGGGAGAGTGGGATCTCCATCACTGGATGTTTTTAGCCCGGGGGGAGAAAATAGGGCTGGTTCAGGGATGAACCTGCCTGGAGCAGACGGCTGCACTAGATGCACCCCCACCTCCCCGTCCCAAGGGACCTGCCAGCCTGATGATCCTAAGTGACTTGACCAAGGCTCCGCAAGCAGTCCGTGGCGGAGATCCCCATCTCCGTTCAGCCGTGGGGCATGCAGCATGGCAGAGCCCCATGTCGGTCCCTGGCTGCGCGAGCACCTTGTGGCCCAGCCAGGTGGGGAGGGGGAGGGAAGGCAGATCCTATATGTTAGCCCATCCCCACCCCATACCGTGCTGCTGACAGGCGACATCATGCAGCAAGTAAATAACATAATTAATAAAAGATTAGGATGAAATGTGACACATTAAATATTTAACCCTGCGGCTGCCCGCGCCAGAGGGCCAGACACAGCCGGCTCCTGCAGGATGTAAGGAGCAGGGTTATTTCCAACCCTCCCTTCCCCCCCAGTTTAACCCGAAAGAGCAGAAGGCCGATGGGAGTCCATGGAGGGGTGGATGGGAGGGATTAACACTTTGAAGCCTGTCTGCTAGGGCTGAGTGGGGCTGTCCGTCCATCCATCAGGGAGAGGAGGTGTTGGCGCCTAATGGTTACAGCAGTGGGGGAGAGTAGAGGACAGGAGGGAGAGCAGGGCGGCTGCGAGCCAGGACTCCTGGGTCCCGTTTCCAGCTCTGGCACAAGCAGGGAGGGTTGCAGGCTTAATTGATTCAAGTGTTTCCCTGCCCTGCCGGGGGCCTCTGGGGAGCAGCAGTTATTCCACGAGCTGATGGGGGGGACGGGAGTGGGGGTCTCTGGGGAGCCTGAGATGGCTCCTGGCCTGTCCACCTCCTCCGCTCCCAAACGCGGGGCTGATGCCCATTTGAATTGCGTGACAAGGGCTGGCCGGGCACCAGCCAGAGGGCAGGATGTGCCCTGGGATCTGGGCCCGAGGAGCCCCTGCCTTCCCTGCAGCTGATAGGTTTGCAGATAATCTTGCACCACAGATGAAATCAGTCCCCGGAGCTGCTTGGCCTTGGGTTCGCTGTAATTTCTTATCTCCTTCCCCAAAGAAATGGTGCAGCACCTCGCCCCGTGGGGCTGCTTAGGCCTGCAGCGGGTCCCTCTTGCTCCCTTTCATAGGTGGGGCAACTGAGGCACGCCAGCCCTCTGCAAGATGCAGGCAGCAGAGCCAGGGCAGGGCCCAGGAGCTGGGCCTGCGATCTTTCTTTCTAGGGGATCCCCTCCCACCTGAGGGGGTGAGTAGATCCAGTCCCTGCGCCCTTCCCATTTTAGGGCGTCTACCCAGGCCAGGAATCGGGGGGACGTGGGGGCCGCTCCTGGTGACCCCAGGACTTGACCGCTCTGTGCCTTATTTTCCCCATCCATGAAGCAGACATGCTAATGCCTAGTGGCCCCCCGGGGCCGGGTGGGAATCTCTTCAGAGAGATCAGGAAGGCCATGATCCCCACCCCCCAGCGCCTGCTCCCACCCACTGGCATTTTCATAGATGCATAGACTGGAAGGGACCCTGGAGGATCATCGAGTCCAGCCCCCTGCCCCAGGGGCATGAGAACCCAGTTTTGCTCAGACAAGCAGAGGGTGTGGAGAAGGGGGCTAATATGGGCACTTGCCCCCAAGAAACCGGCCTGAGAATCGGCAGGCCCGGCCTGGCATCGTGTGGTCCCAAACCAGCCGCGTCCCTTCTATTTGAACACCGCTGGGTGATAAGGCAGTACCCAGGGGCTGCATCTGCAGCCACTTCTGGGGTGGACCCCAACAGTGTGGACAAGCGCCTGCCTTGCCAACTGCTTTGTTATGAATTGCGGGTACAGCCTCAAGGCTCGGGGCCTGGCCGGCTCCCCGCGCGCGGTGCTGCACGAATGCTTCCAGCAGCTCGGGGATCCGGGAGGAGCGGAGGCTGGTTTTTAAGGCCGGGAGCCCGGGGACAAAGTCGGCCGCACTCGGATGGGGAATCCCAGGGCCCCCCGTGCCCCAGGACCAGTGGGAGATACAGAGGGAAGAGCACTTTATCCGTCTTGCCTGCAGCCCGGTGGGCAGGGAGCCGGGGTGGGGGGGGGTGTCCTATTGTGGTGGAAGGTGCCGCTGTGCTTGGTGTTAAAGGGATGTGCTGCTCTCTGCACAGCCTGAGTCATGGCCAGCAGGAAAGCCTTGCCTCCGTTAGATCAATGTGCTGTAATTATACCAGCCAGCCACTTCGGGCAGGCGGTGGAGGGAGCTGGGCCCCACGTTACTTTGATTGACAGCGGTGGGGAGCTGCAGCGCGGAGGCTGCTGGGGGCTGTAGTCCGGGGCCAGCTGTGCTGGGGGGCAAGACGGGGTGCTGCATGCACTCGTCTGGTGCCAGCGGCACCCTGCTGCCCGCAGCGTCGGGGTGCAGAGCCCCAGGGACCAGCCGCCTTCGCTCCCAGCTCCCTGGAGCAGTCCTAGGCATGGGGCTCTTTGCAAAAGGAGCCTGAGCTGCAGGCCGCCCTGGAAGGGGGGGAAACCGAGGCACAGAACGGGCAGGCTCCAGGCGGCCTTGCTGCTTGCTAGCACCCGTGCCCTGCACCTGGCAGGGAGGGGCCTGGTCCCCGACCGCTCTCGTGCCAAAAGGCCGGAGGCGGCCTGGGGCGGTGGCACCAGGCACAGCCGTGCCCGAGGCCGAGGATGCTCTTGCCGGGCGGGGGCATGGGAGTATCTGCTGGGATGCGCCCCCAGAGCTGCCCAGGCCTGGCACCCTTGCCCCAGGTGCTGCCCCAGCTGAGATGGGGCTGGGAAACCACAAGTCCCAGCCTGCCGTGGCCTCCCCGGCTGCCCCCACCCCGGCTCCCGCCTGCTTCTCCTCCTGATTAGCCTCCGAAAGCTTTGACATCATGGACCCATGTGGGAACTGGGAAGGCGCATTGGTTGGTGCTCCCAGCCCACGGCAGCCAATGGTGCCGCGTCCACAGTAGCCGAGGCTGCAAAGCTCTTTAAGGTGGACCTGGGCAGCCCAGGACGCGGGCGTCCTCCTGGGTCACCTGCCGGCCCGGGCATCCTGCCTCGGCGGCCAGCACAGCGCTGGTCCCCTGGCCCCACTGGCCTAGGCCTGGGGGCTGGCGTGAAGGCGAGGCGTGGGGCAGCACAGGTCGCCCCGCCAGTCTTGGTCCAGCAGGAGGCGCTGCGGTGCCCGGGGCAGGAGAGCAGCTTGCTCGGGGCATTTGCCACTTGCTGCCCCAGTCGCAGCCTCTCTAGCCCAGTCCAGGCTTTCTCTCGGGGCGCTTTGTGCCCTGTGCCGCGGCTCCCTCGGCCGCCTGCCTCGGATGCCCGAGACGCCAGCCCCGACGCGGGCATCGTCCTGCGTGGACGATGCCCAGGTGATGCCAGGGTGGAGGGAGGGCTGGTTTCCAGCCAGGGTTTGGGAGAAGGAAGCCGGGGGCTGGAGGCTGGGTTGGGGCAGGTGACCCGGGGCAAGGGGGTGGGGTGGATGGGGCAAGGGCATGAGCTTCGGGGGCAGAGACGAGGGAGGGCCTGGGGGAGGCAAACGATGGCGGGGTGCTGGCAGAGGGTTTTGGGGGGGGGAACCCTCCCAGGAGGCAGAAGGGGCTGGGTTGCCCCACCTCCCCCAGCCCCTAGCTAATGGGGCAGAGAGGTGGGGGGCAGGACCGGGCCCCTCCCTCTGCTCTGTTCTCCTGGCCTCCCCCCCACCCGCCTCCCTCCCCACTACGGTGCCCGGGGGCTTCAGAGCAACCGGGGGGCACCGGTGCAGTCACAGGGCACGGAAGCAGCTGGGGAGGGGGCACCAGCGTGGCCAGGGGACCCTGAAGCACAGGGGGGCCCCGGAGTGGCTGGGGCTGGGGGAGGCATCAGGGCAGGCAGGTGACACCAGAGCGGCTGGAGGGGGGGCGGCAAATTGTGGGTCTGGCCCTAGGCACCGCTGCCCCTGGGAGCCGGTGCCTGGGGGTGCCCCAGCTCTCCCAGCGCCGTAGCCAAGGCCTCTCCTGGAGGGCCAGAGCCACCTTAAGGCGCGCTTCGCCAGGCTCCCCTGCTTTCTCTGCCTTGCCAGGAGGTAGTTTTTATTCCAGCCAGGGACCGCTGCTGAAATCCGGCCAGATTTTCGCCTGACCTTCTGTTCCTGCTGGGTTTTTTTGTCCCCCCCCCCATGCTTTAAGGCCGATTAGATTTCCCCCCAGCCCCGTGTCCGATGGGCCGCTCACGACCCACCGGGGAGGGAGTCCTGCTCCCCTCTCGCCCGGAGGAGATCTCCGCTCCGGCACCCCCAAAATCCTTGCATTTAAGATAAAAAGGAAAGAGAAAAAAGCCTGGTCGGAGGAAGCCTCGTGCCCGCCCGGCTCGTCCTTGGCTTTGGCTGCCCTCCTGCTCCTACAGCGGCTGTTGGAGAAGTTCAAGTGCAAGGGTCCTGGGGGGGCTAGCGGGGGCCGCCCCCTCCCCCTGGCTGGTAGCCATTTGGGGCCAGCAGCTCAGGATGTACCCGCAAGGACGGCACCCTGTAAGTACCAGCCCTGCCACCGGCTGCGGGGGGGGCATGGGCAGGGGTTGGGGGAGCACCGGGCTCCAATCTGGGCATGGTGCTCATGCCCCCCGTGCTCCCCTCCCCAGACCCCGCTCCAGTCCGGGCAGCCCTTCAAGTTCTCCATCCTGGAGATCTGCGACCGCATCAAGGAGGAATTCCAGTTTCTGCAGGCGCAGTACCACAGGTGAGGGGCGCGGGCGGGCTGGGGGCAGCCC